TGGAGATCTCGAAATCGGAAGGAACGGGCTTCTGCAAGTTCAACTTGAGTGGGTTAGTGAACTGAGGAGTCTGGTTGTTGGCTCTGTAGTGCTCCTTGGCGGCAATCACGACATTGTCCAACAAGTTGGCCACGGTCATGGGACCCACGCCGCCAGGAACAGGCGTAAGCAAAGCAGCCTTCTCCTTAGCAGACTCAAAGTCGACATCACCAACCATTCTGGAACCGGACTTCTTGGACTCGTCAGGCACGAAATTGGCACCAACGTCAATCACAACAGAGCCCTCCTTGAGCCAGTCGCCCTGGACAAAGCCAGGCACGCCAATGGCCACCACCACGATATCGGCATGGGCCAAGTGGGCCTGCAACAGCTCTTTCGAGGTCTTGGAGTGCAACACGGTCACGTTGGCGTTGGCCTTGATCAACAAGTTGGCGATCGGGCGGCCCACAATGTCGGATCTGCCCAAAACAACGGCGTTCTTGCCGGAAATGTCCACCTTCAGCTGCTCAAGCAACTGCATGATTCCCTTGGGAGTACAAGGCAAAAACGTGGGGGAACCGCCCTTTTTCGACAACTCGCCCACGTTGTGGGGGCCGAAACCATCCACATCCTTGGAAGCGGCCACAGCGTTGGTGACCTTGGTTTCGTCCAAGTGGTCTGGAATGGGGAGCTGGACCAAAATACCGTCCACAGAGATGTCGGCGTTCAACTCGCTGATTCTCTGCAAAAGCTCAGACTCGGTCACGCTTTCGGGCAAGTTCTCCACGTTGCAAATAATGTTGGCCTCCTCGGCGGCCTTCAACTTCATCTTCACGTAAGTAGACGAGTCTGGTCTGGCACCAACCTGGAGAATGGTCAAGGAGGGCTGGAAATCAGCGTGCTTTTTCTGGAAAGCAGCGATGTCCTCGTGGATCAGCGCCCGCAATTGCTGGGCAATGGCCTTGCCGTCGATCAACTGGGCTGGCATGGAAAAGAAAAGTGGTATGGAGAAGAAACGAAGGAGTGGAGGATTGAGAAAGTGGTTATTTTTCGCGCTGACTCGGACCACCGGTGGTTATGGCGGGGGAGGGCCGGGCGTGGTGGTTTTTGAGAAAGGAGGGTTTTGGGTGAATGTGGGAGGGGGATTCTGCTGTATTTATAGTTTTTTTTTGTGATTTGAGGGGAAGGGGTGGTTTTTGATGGGGGTCTATTGGAGCTGATTAGCAGTGCGGCACTCCCCCCGGTGGTATAGAATATGGGGAGTCGTTTGTGGTTCTTCTTTTTTTCTTTTTTTTATTTCTACATTTAAAGCCTAGCCCAGTTTATCTACACTGCAATTGAGCTGAAAGCATGGATTCATTGTGTCGTTTAAATGGACTGACCCATCGATGGTGAAAAATCACAGAGTCAAACGCAGGGCTCGCAACGCAGATGCAACGAAAGTGATAAGCGAAAGGAGGGGCAGCCAGCGGGGCAATTCGCCAACCGAGCATTGGGGCTTTTTGAGAAGACGAGAAAGTTTAGATTTGGCTGAAAAAGGTTGTCTTTTTCTTGTGGTGTGGCCGTTTTCAAGATGGCTTTTTTCGGTGACTCAACGCGATAAGCCTCTGACTCGGATCCTCGTGGACCAGTCAAAGTGGTACCTTGGTTTTGGGCAATTTATGGAATTATTTCAATTTTGGAAAGTTCATTTGATGATTCGTTGGTTGAGTTGTTCTTTATTTCATTTTTTATGAATCAACCGGTCTTGGCTCTCTGAATGACCGAGGTTCATTGGCTGCGAATCAATAGCTTATAGGTTGCATGGCGGCTATGATGGAGACACTTTGGACGTATTACATGAGATGGCATCGCTGCCACGGAGGAGTCAAAATGGCGTGCTTTTGGAAATTGGCGTTTTGGAAAAATTTGGAGATTTTGAGGATATCGTGATTTTGATGTAGAGGCATAAACGAGATGCAAAGTACTTTCTGGATATGGGAATTTTCATCGGACGTGGTACAGCCGTTGAGGCAGGTACACTAGGAAGTTTAAGTCTATCGAGTTGAAATAGGTTACTGTTGAATTGTCTGATTACTGGAAATATGCCCTCGACTACGTACTGTCCTCGAGGCTTTCTATAAATTGTAAATTGTTAAGTATTGAATGTCACCATCGGAAGCCTTTTTTTGATCTCGACCTTCCTTTCGTAGTACCCATGAAGGAGCTAGACCACGACCTTCCTTTCGTAGTACCCATGGAGGAGCTAAATCTGCTTCTTTTGCACTTTCAAAGACCAACGTGATGTAGGTTCACAAACTTCAGGGTTCTTTCATATCGTCACTTCAGTATAACCAAGATCAAGGCCTCCCAAGCACCTTATTCACTTTTTGCCCAAAAGTTGTCTTTCATCGGACCCCCACAACCTCACGCCTAGAGGGACCCCCACTTGCTTGCAAGCTCCTCCATATCCTCCAAACTCACCACTGGATGAGTACCCAATCCAGACCGTTTGTTCATGTCACCTAACGCCTGTCCAGGCCCCAAACCAACCACACCCTCGACGCCCTGCTCCTTGAGAAAATCGAAGGACTGTTTCCAGAGAACCGGCTTGGAGTTGTCCAGAACCGTATTCAAGAAACAGTGGCCTTCACTCACCTGGCCCGTCAAATTCGAGACAATCGGTTTTAGCGGCGTCTTCGGCTCGGGCGCTAGCTCGGCCAATTCCGGCTCTATCTTCTGCAACAACGAATTGTGAAACGGGATCTTCACCGGAAGCTTCACCAGCTTGAGAACAGCGCCCTTGGGCATATCGGCCAACGCAGCCTCCACCAGCGCAATTGGACCGCTGATCAGGATCTGTGAAGAGTTGTTCACACAGGCGAGAACACCGTGTTTATTGGCCACTGCCTCCACCGTTTCAAAGCTCTTGGGTCTGAACACAAGCACCAACATGGTGTACTCGCCTTTGTCGAACAATTGTTCCATCAAAAGGCCTCTTTTTCGAACCACCTCCACGGCTCGTCCAAAATCAAGCACTCCGCCGAGCACCAAGGCGGAATACTCTCCTAAAGAGTGGCCTAGCAAGTAGCCTGTTTTGTCGTTTTTGACCAAATCGATGCCGTATAGTTTCTGGAAAAGCTGGTACGTGATGTACGTGGCGGCAAGAATGGCCGGCTGGGCACTGGATGTTTTCAAGCTCCAGGGATCCGCTTCTGTGGGAGGTTGCTCTATGAGTTTCTCGGAGAACTTCTCCTTCAACACCTCATCCACCAACTGGAGCGAGGGCTTTATGAGATTTTCGTGTTTTTTGAAATTGTAGAGGCAGCCTCGGGGAATGATGCCCTGGCCGGGGCACGCCACGGCGAGTTTGCCTGTGGAGAGGCGGCGTAGAGGTGTAAACATGTAGTTGAGATTACCCCAGATTTCGAGATGACTTCGCACCAGGTGGTGGAAATTGCAACTGTGGTGGTTGAGGAAGAGTCAATTGAGTAAAACTTTGTTATGTTTGATATCTGGAAATTTTGACGATTTTACGAAGGAGAATTTGGCGATGACATCAATTGGTGGATGGAGTAGGTGGTGGAACTAGGTGGTGACGGTATGGTGATGTGAAAGCTATCAGTACGTATAAGTTTCGTATATTCGGTTGCCTGTCAATTGAAAAGAGATACTATTTCTTTGGAGTAAAATAAAAGGAGTTTACGTCAAAATCGAGTTCCTGGACTCGAAATTCAAGTTTTCATGGACAGTGGTTGCACAATGGAAGTGACAAACCGTCAATCAAAGGTACCGAACTATGCATAAAAATGATGACCTAATATTCAATTATTCGTCAATTTTGACCGTATGAGTTTCATTGAAGATGGAAATGGAATTCTAAAGAAAAAAGAAGGCAACAATTGCTATGCAGCTGCATCAAGACTAGGTCCAGCGTTGAAAGTATCACTGTGGATTTCTGAAAATTCAATGGCTTCGTGAACATCATAGCCCTCCAACATTCCCAAATGGTTCTCCAATTTCATCAAATCCTTCACCACCTCTTCAATCAATGCCAATGCCTAGAAACCAACAGCCATACTAAGTCCATCACCACCAGTGCTCGTGATCCACCTTCTCCAGAACGCTAATTCTACATTCTTGACATCTCATTGCTCAAAGTACCTCCTATAAATGCTCATCATATTGAGCCGAAAAACTCAGACACCAATCGAGGTCTTCGTGATGCGGCTACCAAATGTGAGACACTTTCGCTAGACCAACGTAGACCATCTACCACAAGATTCCATTCTCCACCACGAAACTCTAATTCACAAACCACAAAACAAGTTACAAAAAAGCACCAATTCTACAATCGCTCTTCCCAAAAGCCTCTCCCACTTTTTTCACCCAACTGGCACTTTTTTTTGCACAAGCCCATCTGTTTTCCACGGGCACCGCAGCGCAGGCGGATTCCAAGAAACTGGCGCCAAAAGTTGTTTGTTTTCGCGGCGGCGGGCGAAAAATTGGCGACAAATGGCCCAGGGGCGGGCCCCCACGACGGCGAGAAACCCGAGCCCGCGGGCGTGAGCAAATAACAATCGGGGCCACGGGCGCAACGCGAGAGGGGAGGGGCAGGTAAAAACGGGCTTTTCGGGGGGATTTCAAGAAGATTTTTACATATTTGAAAAGTAGAGATTGTTAGGATTTCAAATATCCAAAAAGATTTTAAAAATTCCCATTCTAATGCTCTGTTTGATGGGGCCCCCATTCCGTGGCCTGGTGCCAGGAGGCTATTTGTTGTGCCGCGAAGGTGCCGGACCCAGCCCACCTCCACCACAGAAAGTCCCAGTAAACTCGCTCACCAACGGGAAAAAATTATAAAAGGACAGCAGATCCCAAAAATTCAGCCCAAAATATCCCACTTTTTCTTCCTCTTTTTCTCCCCTGCCACCCACAACACCTACTTTCCCAGACCATCCCCGTTTTTCCATCCCACCCAGCCTGGCGCGACTGGCGCCGACGTTTTCCCTTTTTCTGCCCCACCACTTTTCTTCATCACCATGTCGCTAGAACAGGCCAAAAACGCCCTCGTGGCGTCGTTTTTTGAGCTTTCCAACGCCGCCAAGGACGCCGCCACCGCCACAGTCAATTTCTACAAGGCCGCCGGCGTCGATGCCTCCGATTCCGCCTCCTCATTGGCTGCTTTGAGTGCCTCCATCACAGGTGCTACCCAGGCTGCTTTGGCCGATTTGCCCCTGGACGTCAAGGCCAATGGGTTTGTGGAGCCCAAGAAGGTCGAGAAAAAGCTGAGAAAGAGACCGGCTCCCAAGGACGAGGCGCCTGTGGAGAAACAGGAAACTGAATCTGCCGAGTCTGGCTCGTCCAGCCCCACCACAGCTGAAACCGCCCCATCGTCTGCTGCCGAGCCAGCCCAGGCCGAAAAGCCAGAAAAGGCCGAAAAGCCCAAGAAGAGAAAGATCGAAAGAGACCCCAACGCGCCCAAGAAGCCCTTGACCACCTACTTGCGCTTCAACCTCAGCATTCGTGACCAGATGAAGAGAGAACGCATCGAGAACGGCCTCCCCACCTACCCTGCCACCGAGCTCAACCAGATCATCGCCGAGAGATGGGCCAATTTGAGCGGCCCGGACAAGGAGGCCCTCCAGAAGGCCTACGAGAGCGAGTTTGAGGACTACAAGAAGGCCTTGGAGACCTACAACGCTACCAAGACCGCCGAGGGTGGCGTTCCTATCCCAATTCCAGGCGCTCCAAGAAAGACCGGCGCCAAACCAGGCCCAAAGCCAGGATCCAAGAAGAAGGAGGCCGAGAAGCCTGCTGAAAAGGCCGCCGACAAGGAGGAGAAGCCCGCTGAGAAGAAGGAGGAGAAAAAGGAGGTGAAGCCCGTTGAGAAGAAGGAGACTAAGCCCGCCGAAAAGAAGACCCCAGCCACTCCTAAGGAAAAGAAGAAGAAGGCCAAGCCTGCTCCAGCGGAAAACTCCACAGTCGCTAACGCCATTGCTGCTGCTGCCGCCGAGGTCGCTGAAGAAGCCGCCAAGACAGAAAGCAGCGACAAGTCCAGCGCTCCATCGTCCCAGGCCCAGCAGACCCAGCAAAAGAAGAAGAAGAAGAAGGATAAGGACGCCTCCGGCGAGAAGAAGAAGAAGAAGGCTCCCGAGGGGGCCCAGAGCCAGTAATTTGCCTGTGGCGCTCTTTCAATTCTTCTTTGTTTTGATCCACTGTTTTCCATCCTTCGGCACGCTGCTGTTGTGTAATATATTGTAAATGCCAATGTAATCTATTTGTTGAAAGTCTTGTGAGAGTAGTTTGGCTACAGGTGCTGACCGGAATATTCATCATTGTACATATCTAAAGTCCCTTTTTCTTCTGCTTCGTGATGTGTGCCCTCAACACCTTCTGTCTGTCTCTGAGAGACATCTTCTGCTTGCCCTGGACAGCCTTCTTGTGAATCATCATCATAAAGTTCTTCTTTCTTGCCTTCTCCTTGTTTGTAGTAGAATGAGGTGCCTCTCTCTTGCCTCTTCTGGAACCAAACTCTCTGTCTTCCTTTCCTTCCTTGGCATGGGCAATTCTCTCCTCTCTGAGCTGCTTGTACTTGACCTTACCAACCAACGTAGTCAGATCAACCTCCTCTTCGTTGTGCTGCTTACCGAGAATCTTCTCAACACCAGCCTGAGCCTTCAATTCTTCAAGCTTGGCGAAATCAGCAGGTGTAAGGATTCTGCTGGAAAGCATCTCTGTCATGGCCTTTTCAGCAGCAAGTGCCTCCTCTGCCTTGGCATTGGCGATCTTAGCCTTCTTCTTCAAAGGAGCACCAGCTTCATCCTTCTCACCTTCTTCGTCATCAGAAAGTTCAAGATCAGAGTCCTCATCCTCGTCGTCCTTCTCATCCTTCTTTTCATCCTCAGAGTCGGAAATATCAATCTCCTTATCAGATTCAACGTTGACCCAGTCACCTTCGACATCCAGATCACTGTCTTCGTCGGCAACCTCCCAGTTTTCGTCCTTGTCCTCATCGTCCTCCAAACCTTGCTCCTTTCTCCATTTGGCCAAGAGCTCAATACCAGGAATAGAGGTGGTGGTGGATTCGATACCAAACTGCGGCAACCCCTTCTTCTCTCCATGCTGAAGCTCCATAGAAGCGGTCTTACCACGGTCCTTCCTCTGCAACATTTCTGGAGCAACTTCTCTGTACAACGTGATGAGTGATCTAGCAGCCATCATGACGTTCTTGGCCTTGGAGCCCTTGTACTCCACCAAGTCTTGCAAGAGAGGAGCTTCAATGGCTAGAGGTGCACGAGCCAAAATCTCTCTGATGGTGTTGATACCAGCGGCAGCGACTTCAGATGCAACACCGTCACTGACGAACTCATCGGCGATTTTGCGCACAACAGAGTTGATGTTCTCTGGGGGGACCAAGTCGTGAGAGGCTTGGGCAGAGGCAGCCATGATTTGCGTGACATTTCTCTGCTTGGGCGTCAAGTACTTGAGGAAGAATGAGTAGATACCCAAAACTGTAAGCTTATGCGTACCAATAAGTCTCGATACAAGGTTCATGAACAAGATCTTGTGCTCCAAGTCGTACTTGTTGGCGGCCTTGTTACTCATGTGCGTGTCGTAGAGGGATTCAGCAAAACCCTGGGGGTCTCGAAGCAAGTGAATGGCAGAAAAGTTCAAGTATGTGGCCAAACCCTTATTGCTGTTCTTCTTCTTCATCGACTTCATGGCCTGCTCCATCTTCTTGCTTCTCTTGGACGACTTCTTGTTAATCTGCATCTTGTGCTTCAAAGCGCCCATATCGAACCCTTCTTCGTCAGACAGGTCGTTTTCAAAGTTCTCCTGTCTTTCCTTATCGGCACCAAGGAAGAATTTGGCACCGGACGTACTGACCTTGATGTCAGGATGCAATGCAGCTTGAGTCATGATTTCGACGGTTCTAGAGTCGTCCCAAATACCTCTTCTCCAGAGCTCTCTAGTGAGTTTGGTAGCCCAGAAACCCTGGGAGTCTCTTTGATCAAGCAACTCAAAAAGCAACGCTTGCGTGGTTCTGTTGATCTTTTGATTCTTAGCACCGGTGTTCATAGACTTCAAAAGCGAGATAAGCGTGCTGTAGATCTGACGTCTGACAGCTTTGGCGTTTTGAGAACTGGTGGATGCGTTCTGAGACGAACTGGAGTATGCACGTAAGAGGGGGAAGAGTGTGGCAATCAAGGTTTCAGCGGTGATGATGCCCTTGTTTCTAAGCATGGTAAGACACTGGATGATCTTCTCTCGGAGCTCGGGAGTCAAGTCTCTGTGATTGTTGAGAAGAATATTCTTGAGTTCCTCGGGAAAGTCCTTTGTCTCCTTAGGGTAGCAGTTACAAACCGCCGAAACGAAGCCAATGAGCTCCCCAAACTCTGTTCCTTGGTCGGGCGTGGGGTTCATCAAGAAAATGTCTCTTAACGACTCATAGTGGGAATACTGTTGGAGAAACTCCTCATGGTACGAGCCAGGGTCTCTGCGGACGACATTCTGCAACAAAATAATGTTGGTCGGAAGGATAGCGGCTCTTCTCTTTTTGCCCATTTTCTGTTGTTTTCAATGTTGGTGAAAAAGCTGAGATGCTCATCGGGGCCTTGATGCGATAATAACATCCGTGCACCACCACACAAACTTGGTCCAGATAAGCTCACACACTGGGTTTTGGCAGTACCGACGATTCAGCGGCAGCTGCGCTTCGGAAAAGTGATCCAATAGAGTCGTAGTTGATCTTCTTGGAAAATGCCTTACCCTGCAACATTTGCTTGGCACTATCTGCAGGCGTAGAGGTTTTCCCGTCCTCGCCTATCAGACTAATGGCATTTGCAACCGCAGCATCGTTCAAAACTGGATGCATTGAAGTGTCCTTGATTCTTCTCCTCTTGCGCTGCTGACCCGAAGTGTTTCCAGCAATTTCATCAGCTGCCTGTTTCAAAACACGCTTTTCCTGAGCGATCAAGAACTCGTAGTTGAGAGAAGTCCAGATCTTCTCTTTACTTTCGCTCATCTCCTTAGTGAGAAGCATGAAATCAACTTCGTCATCGTCTTCGTCATCACCCAAATTAGGGTCATCCGAGACCTTGCTAAGAAGAGAATCCGTGGTAGGCAAGTTCTTGAGCAAGTTTCTGGGTCTGTTGAGCTCGATCTGCCTAGCTAGCCTCTCCTCATCCCTATTAACTTCCTCAGGAGTTGGTGAAAATTCAGGGCCCTCCTCCTCTGGGACGAAAAGGCTCCTGGCCTCACTTTCCAGCGGAATTTGATAAAGTGACTGCTGAAGCGTCTTTTGCTGATTCTTCCATATCATTTCCAAGGCTGTTTCCACATCTTTCTCTGTGAGGTCTCCTCCAGCCAACACTGACCTCAACAAACCGTCTTTCTTGACCACGCTGGCGGTAGTAGAACGTCTCCTACGGCTAGCGTGCTTTGCAGGCAAGGCATCATACTCTTTTTCAAAGGAGTTGTCGTCGTAGGTGGGTCGCAGGAGGCGGTTTCGGAGACCAAAGTCCGTTCGAAGGCCTGAAAGTCTTTTAGTTGTGGGTTTGTAGGGCTGATCCTCCTTGGGCTGTGGTGGAGGGTCATCATCAGGTAAGAGGTCGAAGATCTCATCGTCTTCGTCATCTTCGTCGTCCTCATTACCATTTGCGGTTTCATTGTTTTCGCCATCGTTCTCGCCGTTGGCTTTAGCTGAAGCATCAGCTTCTCCTTCAGCATTGTCTTCTTGGCTCTTCTCATTCGTTTCATTAGCATCTTTGTCGACCTCGCTTTCGCCTTCCTCCTCATTGTTCTCGTTTGTAGCGGCTGCTTCTTCACTGTCCTTCGGCGTGCCCTGCCTAGTGTTCTCCTTGTCGCTCTCTTCAGACTTCTGAGCTGCGATATCTGAATTAGATTCCAGCTTTGGCACAGGCCTCTTATCGGTTTCCTGCTCAAACAAAACGTCAAACAACTTGTTTCGGCTTGCGAGTTTCTTATACTGCTTGACAACACGGGACCGCTGGCTCAAGATGCTCAGGATTCTCAGCTCGATTCTACGGTTTTGAGTGAAGGAGGGTGGAAGCGAAGATTCAGTGCCCTCCGACTCACGGAACTGCGAAAGCGTCATGGCACCAGATTGCGTTTTGCTAAACTCGCTAAGTCTCTTTTGGATGGTTTCCTGGCCCACACGAGCAATGGCCACGATTTCACCGTGGGACCTTCTCTGATCGTTCATTCTGGCCGCAAGCATAAGGCACGCTCCGGCGATACCGGCGGGCCGTCTTCCCTCGTAGATCCAGTCCTTGGCCATCGTCAGAGCAAGTTTCGTAGCGTCTCTGCAGATTTTGGCTGTCTGGTCACCAAAATCTAGTCTTTCGGCAAAGTGTTGAATAAATAGGGAAGGGTCGGCAAGCGGGAGTTTCTGGATTTGCAAAGCTCTCACGAGCTTGAGGTACGTGGCACCAAGCGAGAATACCGAGATCTGGAGCCTCGAGGAGAAGTCGATCAACAAGTGGTGGGTCTTTTCGTGACGACACGCCACGTACAAGCAGGCGGCGATCACGTTCTGGGAACGACGACCCTGGACAAAGTTCTGCACCAACGCAAGCTTGAACCAGCCGCTTGCGGACTCCAAAATGTACTCGGGAATCTTCATGGCGCTTCCCAATTTCTTGATTTTCAGCTTGGCACTAAGAAGCGTCTGTTCTCTCAGCTCCATGGCATTTCTCATACTGAAGTTTGCTCTCACCTGATCAGCACCGACCATGGCACCCTGCACCATGGCAGCACCAGTGGAGGATTCACCAAACTGGACTTCGGATATAATGGGGTTCTCTTCCTGGACCATACCACAGTTTTCACAGGAAAGGTCACCCAGCAGGGCCAGCATGTCCTGGATGAACTTGGTATGGTGGCAGCCGGGGCATCGCTTTACTCTCTGCACGGCAGCCATTTTGTTATTGTAAAGAAGGTGTAGTTGATGTTGTTGATGTGAAGAGATGGGTGCAGGAAAGTTGATGAGGTGGGTGGGTAGGTAGGTGAATGTGGGGTTGGACTGGTGGTTTGTGGGAGGGACTATATGAAAAAGTGGATTCTTTAGAGTGGGCTGTTCAGCTATTTTTCGATAAAGTTGAGGTGATTTTGATATTTGTGGGGAGTAGTTTGTGGTTTGTGGTGGTTTGCGAATTTGGCTGCGAAAAGTGGATGAGGAGGAGGTATGTGAATGTGGTGAGAATAGTGAGATTATAAAAATTACGGATTTTGGAGTTTTTTGTAAGTTTGAACCTAGGAATGCTGTTTAAGAAAAGGACTATTCCCAGAGAGACGATTTTAACGTTCAAACCGTTATGACCTTGGCTATAGAGATCGCCTTTCTCATGCTATGAGTGTACTATAGTGGGTGTGGAAGTAGGTCACCAAAAAAAAATATCTTTTTTTTTGTCCATAAAGCAGGAATTCTTAGAAAGCTATCATTAGCTTGGACGTGGAAAGACCGCTAGTATGTATAGATTATGCTCACCTTCGATATGACTACACTCCTCTATGGTCTTTTCTAACGACTCCAAATGGGAGTAAAGTTCCAAAAGATCTAATTTCTGTACAGATGTACTTTTTTAAAAATTGGAGTGAACAAACCTTTGAAAAATCCGCTTCGTTTGACTAAACTACCTTCGGTAGTCCGGGATATACTAGGCGATATCATTAATCTCTCTATGGCCTCCACAGCAGATTTGGCAATTTTACCCGAACACACACCGCCAAAAGGAATCACCAAATGCAACTCGAGCAAATCACGAGCTGGATCCCCCACTTCTAAAATCAGCTAAACCCGACGTGCCACATTTCCCTTGACACGTCAAATGCACTCTTGACACAAAACCGCATTGACGAGATAAGCCGCGAAAGCACCCTGGAGGCTAGCCCAGAAACTATGTACTTGTTGTTTTGATACTAAGGTTTTAAAGATTTTGATATTATTAGCAAGCCTGCTTCATCTTTGAAGTCAGTAGTTTAGACCAGTTGTACCAGACATTTATGGAAATACGCTTTTGCGCTTCTCTATAGATTATGCACCTCCACGCATAGTAGCCACTCACCTGTGCGGTAGTCCTGAAAAGAGAGTGGTGAGATGGAGATCATTACTAGTATTGCGATTTATTGCGAAGAAGATCATCATTCAAATAGTTCCTAATTGATGAAAATTCTGAAATCACAATTCACGGAATTCATAGATTTCAATTCAATGAAAAACTCGAGCCCTCCACGTTGTGCCTGGACCACTAGAACCAGGTTGTGGCGTTATGCACCAAGGGTTCTTTCCAACTTATAAGATAAGTCGATTCCGTCGTCAACTTATAAGATAAACCAGTTCCTTCGTCCAAACCCAACAAAACAAGAAAATCAAAAATGTCCTGGGAAGATAAATGGTTGGTGAAGTACAACAAGAGGGAAATCCCAAACGAGAATGTTTTCCCTAACGTGTCCGTCTTCAACAGAAAACTCTACACTTTCGGTGGTAAAGAGGAAGTCTACATCAAGTTCGACCACGTCGATGACTACATCAAATCCTACGACGAGCTTGCAATGTGGGATACATATCTGTGCATCTTTCGGGTCAGCAAAGACGATTATATCATTGTTTCCAGAAACTCCGATAAGTATGCCGTTATTGGCAAACTCAGCGACAGATATGTGCAAAAGAACAACCTTGGCCAGTACGACGTGCAGATCAGGAACCCAGACGAGTACGAATTGAACCATTTGTCTGACGTCTTCGATAACGAAAAGGAACTCACCTACGATTTGTTGAGCGAATATGCCGAGCACAGAGTAAAAGAGAGGTTTGACGCTTACATGAATGATGTGAAATGTGGATACGTTCCAAAGTCCCAGGCTACCGAGACACCAGCAGTGAATACATGATTGGAATGATTGGAATGAATCGAGCGTAGAGTTGTAGGGAAGAGAATGTATTGCAGTTGTTGCAAATTTATGGAGATATGGTCGAGCTATGGAGGTACTATTTTGTCCAAAGGGCACCATGCGAAGGACCACAAATGCTACTTTTGTAATCCACTAGTGGTGAAGTAAAACTACTGACTTTCTATAGCGAGAGAGTCATGCTCACCCTACTGAGGGGAATTGTATCTGATATACGAATGTGCAAAGAAGTCTACCTCATTCGAGCCTAGAATGGCTGCGAAATATCGATGGAGCTTTAAAGGTTCAACAAATCCCCACATACACTTACAAAAATCTTAAATGAAATATCTTCTGAATGGGGACAAGTCTCTGACTATTCAATCTGGAACCAGAAAAAGGTGTACCTAAGAGAGGATCAAGTAACCCATTGGTTACCCATTAAAGCTCCAAAATGGCTGCGAAAAGAGTACTCTAAGCAAATCTGGCTTTTATCTTCAAGATCTATACCTTGTTTTAATTCAAATAGCTGAAGACTTCAAAATTTCAATAACCTGAAGAGTTTCCAAATATAACCTACACTGTGGAGCTCGACTTTCACCAAAAGTGTACGGAATTGCAACATTTCACGACAACTCACGGTGCAGATGTGGGCCCATTAATGTAGATATCTTGCTCTTCTAGTGGCTCGGCTTATCTTCACAAATGATAAAGTGAAAGCAGATTGGAAGGTTTATGCGGATGACACCACCAAGGTCCAATGCACGGCGGTATAGACGCTATTGATGCGTCGACGAAGGGCCGTCTAGTTCAGAAAAAAGCGACCGTCTACTTTTGAGAAAACAAAGCCATGGAGTGAAGAAGAAATAAGAAATAACCGAAAGACAATTTCGTTTTTAGAAGAGGCGTTGTTGTACTGGAATTGACCAACATTAGTGGACTTCCGTTCCACACTGAGAAACACATGCTTAAGCGATTATCACCACTTTTGTGTTACCCCACACGGCAGGCAAGAATAAGAGAAGCAGACGGGTTTCCAGGCCCACGAGCACAAATGGCCACCAAGATAAGGCCTCCAAATGAACTATAAAAGGACCTGTTCTCCCCTCGTTTCTCTCCATCAACTCTTCACTTTTTCCAATGTTGAAATCTTCCATCTTAGCTTTGACTGTTTTCCTTGCCGGTACCGCCCTCTCCGCCGGTGTCGGTGGTGCTTGTTCAGGCCATGGTGACTGCAACAGAGGCCTTGCTTGCTTGGTGGTGAACCCAGATGAGCCTCCTCACTTGGCCAAGAGACAGTGTGTTGACGGCAGCTGATCAAAAAGTTTCATTCGTTGAACGTTTATTTCGCTGAAATATCTAGTTAGTTTAAATAAAGTTTGCTTTCGATTTGGTGTAGATGTATGTGGCTAGTGAAGTGGCTTGTAAGTAATCTGAGACTGAGAAATGGATTAAGCTTAGAATCGTTAGTATTGACCCGCCCTAGGGTTCCTAATGATTGTGTCACAATAAGCGATGGCTTCATAACAACCAATTGCTTTATACGCTCAGGTGAATTGACCAAGAGTTTTTGTCATACTGCAAGTATGGATCTCATCCACCACCAAATCAAGAGTATGTTCGATACACTTGACCAACCCCTAAAGCCAAAAACAAGATAAAAGCAACACGACTAAAATGAAATTCAACTTTAAATGGGTATTCTTCTGCTTTGTACCCTCTATCACCACAACCAGCGTGCACGAAATGGCTGCAAAACGAAAGTACCACACAAGCAAAGCCATCCTAAATCCTCAAAATCTGTCACTCAAAGTCTCAACACAATCAATTGGCCTTCCAGAAATAACCTAGACTGTGGAGTTCGACTTTCACCAAATGGGTTCAGAATTGCAACATCGACAGAGAGATACTCATGTAGTGGCCTGTTTCTTATCTAAGCCTACGGCTTTGTCGGCTTATCTTCACAGATAAAACCCGAAAGCAGTGGACTGGAAGGTTTATGCGGATGACACCACCATGGTCCAATGCATGGCGCTATAGACGCTATTGATGCGTCGACGGAGGACCATCCATTTTTGAGAAATGGAAGCCCATCTAGATCAGAAAACGAAGCCAGAGAATGAAGAGGTAATAGTATCTAATCGAAGAACAATATTCATATAGAAAATGGCGTTGTTGCACTGGAATTGACCAACATCGATCCACACTGACAAAACACGCTTAAGCGATTATCACCAGTTTTGTGTCACCCACACGGCCGGCAAGAATAAGAGAAGAAGTCGTATTTCCAGGTCCACGAGCACAAATGGCACTCAAGATAAGGCAGCCAGATGGACTTGACAATCAAGATAAGGCTTCCAAATGAACTATATAAGGACGTAATTTCCAATAGTTTCTCTCCATCAACTTCTCACTTTCTCCAATGTTGAAATCTTCTATCTTAGCCTTGACTGTTTTTTTGGCCGGCACCGCTCTTTCTGCCCAGCCTGGCGATCCTTGTGTGACCCATGCCGATTGCCCAAAACTTGCATGCTTGGTGGTGAACCCAGAGGATCCTCCACACTTGGCCAAGAGACAGTGTGTTGACGGCAGCTGATCACGATACGGACTTTTCATCGCTGAAATTTGATTCCATTCGCTGAAATGTCTAGTTAGTTTAATCTAAGTTTGCTTTTCAATTAGGTGTAGATGAAAGTGGCTAGTGATGTGGCTTATAAGTGTTCCTAGACTGAGGGCTGATGAGGGCTGATTGAGCTAAGAAACGGTTTTTTGACCCCCACTGTAGTTGCTGTAGTTACCTATGATGGTTTCACAATACTCGATGGATTATACCCGATGGACCTTTCGATTCTGCCTTTTTTCAAGTAAGGTTCTCAACCCCATATATCCCAGCAAGTGAAGAGCATGGAATACGCTTTACCAACCCCTAAACCAACAGAACGATAAAAAGCACACACTAATCAAATTAAAATAACTCCACATTGGGCACTTTTATGCCTTTTCTGCTATTCTGTGACCCTCTTTCTCCACAACCAGCTTCCACGAAATGGCTGCAAAAAGAACAAACCGTACCACCCATTCACCACCACCACCCACTAGAACCCCCCAAAACAACCCCAATACCCCCTCCTCAGCCCAAACTCACACATACTTTTTCCCGACACCGCTCGTTTCACCACCCCTTCCAGACGTATAAAAAGCCGCTCTGAAACAACCGTTTCGCAACTACTCCTTCTTCTTCCAAGAGTAGATTCTCTCCCCAGACAACATCAACTGTTCCTCTCATGTGTCCTCTGTGCCGCAAAATAGGCATTATCGAGCTCCCCATCGCCGCCCACCACGCCTTTTTCTTTCTTGACGGAAGCGTTTACATCAACCATGGATCTTCCACCTTGCCGATCTGGAAAGACCTCGACGAGTTCTTCTATTTCCACACGCTATTGATGGTGGGCAGAACAAACTACGAAGCGGGCATGTTGGCCCAGCATTTGTGGAACCAGCGGCTTGAAGAGTGTGAGGTGGAGTATCGGAAGAACGAGAAGCGGTTTATGGAGATGATTGAAAAAGGCGAGTTTCCTGGAACGCCAAATTATAGATACGGAGAAGATGAGGGAGGTGGCAGTCCTGTGAGCTCTGCGGGTTCGGTGAATCAGTTCAATGGGTGTGGACTGTCCAAGGGTATAGAGAAGAAGGAAAGCGGTGAAGAGGTGCCTCGAAAGATATACGGGCTTCCTTCGCCTGAAAAGCTCAAAACAGCCTTGACAAAGAGCCAGAAGAAGAAGTTGGCCAAATCGAAGAGAAGTGTGGCCAAGAAGTTGCAGATGGTGGCTGATGAGTAGTAGCATATAGCATTTCGGTGGAGTATAGAAATTCACATTGCATGGAAGCGAGGGGGGTTGTAGAGGTTGGGGTGTTACTGACAGTAGATGCGGTTTAGGTAGCATTTTGGGATGGTGGTCTGGTAGAGTACAGAGTGGTATTGGACTATCTGAGGAGGATTGTATCCTGTAGTAGAGATAGACAAGTGTAGAGTTTTGAAATTTTCAGATCGACAATTTGATTTTTGAAATGTCTGGAGGGTATTTACAGTTATGCGTCTAGTGCCTCGATTGTAATGTGTTTAGTGCCTCGAGTGTAGAATAGAGGTCTACTAGGAATATGAGTATTCATACTCGCCAACTGCTAAGTATAGTCACATTTTGAGAGTGAAAGAAGGTCTCAAAAAGCCGATCTCGCAGAACTCAACAAAAGCTTCACTAAAAAAGCCAGATTCAGAATATGGCTTCCACATCTTTCGATAGTCTATCTCAGATCCTTCTGTCGTACTATGAGTATACTCAAGACACCTACCAATTGACAATTACACTCATGTTTTGATACCAAAGCCGAATTGAGCGAAAGAATTTTCAAGAGTTTCACCAAAAACCCCATTCAAGAAGCTGAATTCAGAGTATGTTTTCGATATTTTTCGATAGTCTACCTTGGTATCTACTCTTCTAGTAGGTGAGCCACAGTACAGAAAACCTACCTCCAACTTCACTAAATCCAATGAAATTTCATATCTTCAAAACCAGCAACTACAACAAAACACAATAAAATATCAATTCTATCACAATACCCCAAATTCACCCACCCCACCTGTCACTACGTCATGGCATCAACCCTGGGGTAATTTCGCACCCACAGTACGGCTTTATTATCAACACACACCTACTACTTCATTTCAGCCCCACCGTCCAGGCACACAAAAACCGGAAAAAAAGAAACGACAACCCCTCAATTTCACCGTCCCAACCCCGAATTCCTCAAATTCGCCCCCAATGAGCGCCCGGGAGCTGAGATCGCCGCAGCGTGGAAGACCCTCTGTCATCGCTTCCTACACCAGCAGGCTGAATTCGCCTTTTCGGAGCGACAGCATCGCCAGCGAGAGCCAGAGCGACACGGAGATAACGGCGTTCCAGCCCCGCCCGTCGCCGCTGAGAAACCCGACTCAAAACTCCCAAAACGCTCCACAACCAAATCCAGAACAACCGAAAAGGAGGTGGTTTCCGGCGCTGAAGGTCTTGGAAATCACTCTGAGCGAGCCTCGAGACGTGCTTCAAAGCGAGAGAACGCTTCTATCGTTTGTGCGTTTCTCCACAGCTCTCTACTTTGCTGCCACAGGTATGGTGATGGGATTCCACCTCAGGACGTCTGGAAAGGAACACGGTCTGTTGCCGAAGCTCCACAACGGCGTGTTCAATAAGACGATGGCGGGGATCCTCATTTTGTTGGCTTTTGCCACGTTGATCATCAGCGGAATCAACTACTTTAGGACTGTGCGTCGGTACTCACAGAAGAGGATTCATACGTATGGGTTCAATAACGCCACGATGATTGTTTGCGTGACGGCGGTGGTGTTGACGTTAATAGGGATCAACGTGGCGTTGATCGTGGAGCGGCTTGTGGATGCGTGATGACCTTGCTGGCGAGGTCCCATAGATAGAGCGTTGTCGATATAGCTGCTAGAGTCCCAAAGCGCTTGAAAGGGCCTTTAAACAGAGATTTTGCGGCACAGTCTTTGGTGGACTCACGAGTATTCTGTTTCATCCACAGCGGACCTATCCAGTCGAACCACGGTAAGCACGGACGTCGTTATTTCTGAACTGCTTGAAAAGGCGCATTGAAAGCTCCAGGATAAATATCACCTGTTTTAATTTATTCTCCGAAATTTGTTTCATGACGATATGTGACGCCTTGATCGGCTCGGTTTATCCAGACGATCTACACCGCTTTCAAGAAGCTGGAGAGCAAATGACCGTCTGAACGATAAATTGCTCCAACAACGTATGACACACTTCATCAAAAATACTGATATCATAGAACACAAAATACTCAAACTGTCACAATACTAACATCCCATTCCAATAATCAAAATACTAACAAACCTACAGCATCTCTACTAACCCCCACAACAAACCCTTCCATGTCTATGCAATTCCTATCTACTTATGCTTCGCCTTCTTCTTCTTCCCGCCATCCTCATGCTTGCGTTTGTTGATCTCCCGCTTTTCTCCAAAGTTCTCCCGCTCCATGTCCATAAGCGCCTCTCTCTTGGCGGTGCTCATTTTCGTCAAGGACTTCTCGATCACAGCGTCGTCGTCGGCCTCCTTCAACAAAACGTGCTTTTCCTTAGCACGCTCCTCAATGGCCACTGTTCTCTCCACATCCCTTTCTCCCACAATCGACACAGCGTCACCTTTCCGGCCCGCTCTGGCCGTTCTACCGACTCTGTGGATGAAATCGTCCGGGTCAGCTGGAATGTCGTAGTTCACCACAAGCTCCACCGTGGGGATATCCAAACCTCTGGATGCGACATCGGTGGCTATAAGGATCTTGGCAGCCTGGGCCTTGAAACGATGCAAGGAGTTGGTTCTTTCCAGCTGGGGCATCTGGGAATGCAAGGAGGCCACCCTGAAGTTCATTTTACGAAGCGTACGCCTTAGAAGCTCGGCCTGGTGGGTTCTGTTGACAAAGATGATGACGTTCAGGTCCTGGTACTTTTCAAGCAGCAACACCGTGTGGAGATAGGCCTCCTTGACGTACGACGGCGTGAACACGTAGTAGAGCAGCAACGTGGCCGGAATGGCGACCTTGTCGACGGAATCCACCTCGTGCATGAAAACAGGCGGTTTTCCTTTGGCAGGTGGTTTTTCCTTGAGTGCTCTCACGGCGTCTGTCACGGTGGCGGTGAAAAGGAGAGTTTGGCGTTTTGAAGCCTCGGGCATCACCTCTAAACACCGCAGAAGGTCCTTGCTGAACGAGTTACTGAGCACTCTATCGGCTTCATCTAGAACCAAGTACTTTACGCTTCGGAGCCCCTTGATGGTCTCTTCTCCCGAATTCAAAATATGGTCGGCCAAACGGCCGGGCGTGGCAATCACAAAATGCGGTCTTCGTTGGAGTTCCAACGCTTGTTTCACGATATCTTCTCCTCCAACCACCACGGCCAAACGGATGTTCATATTGGCGCCTAGAGCGGCAAACTGCTCGGCAATCTGCATCGCCAACTCTCTCGTGGGCGTGAGAACAACGCCAAAAATGCCCATGGGGTCCTCGGACCATTTTGTAAGCATTGGACCGGCAAAAGCGATGGTCTTACCTGAACCGGTTTTGGCTCCTCCAATGCAGTCTTTTCCTTTTAGGATCTCCGGGATACAGGCGGCCTGAATGGCCGTAGGGGTGTGGATCTGCATCGCCTGGAGCGACTCCGAAAGCCATTTGGCGATACCAAGCTCGGAAAACGACATGGAGGTTTTGACGTTTCTGCGATGCTCATCGACCCCAGACTATGTGAGGTGAAAAACACCCGTACACCTCACCACTTTACACTTACATCACCAACGGCGAATTGGCACCACTACATGCGCTGTTTTCGGGGAATTTGCAGAAAAGGCGGTAGCAGGTGGGTTCAGGCCTCTCGGAGTTTAGCCACGGAGAGCAGTGGGTTTCCAGACGTGCCTAACGCCGAGGCTCCAGAGCCCTCCAATCCCGATCCATACGCCAATCTTCCAGAGTGCAGCTACTCCTTCGAAGAGGGCGTCTCTTCCGAGGCGATTCCGAAAGTTTACAAGGATATCCGCTACCATGTCGAAGGATCGGACCATTTCGGGCTCGACAAGGCCAAAATCTCCATGAAGGACTACTTCGCTGGAGACCTCCACCAGAGCCACAAGATCTTTGTGGGCCAGCATAACAACTACAAGCAGGGCCTGAAGGTCGAGCAGCGGACGTTTTTGGATCTCCGGCTTGTGCGGCTCAAATCGGGCAACGGCGGCAATGGCTGTGTATCTTTCTTCAGAGATGCCCATAGACCGGTAGGACCTCCCGATGGAGGAGACGGCGGTGATGGAGGCAATATTTACGTTCAGGTTGTGAAGAACATGGGTCTGTTGCACGGGCTCCAGCGGAGCTACCAGGCCAAAGGAGGCAGTCCGGGTTCGTCTAGACAACTAGATGGAAAACGAGGTGAGGATATCATTTTGGAGGTTCCCGTGGGGACGACGATGCGGTGGATTCCGGACCCCTTGGCGGTGAAAAAAGAGCTCAAGGGGGTTAGCATTGCCGATGTGACGATGGGCTTGAGAGTCACTCCAGACAAGGATGTGCAATTGTACCGTAACGACTACATTCCGGGAGAGGGCTGGACTTTCAAAGAGAAAGATGAGGAGTACCACCAGGAGCGGTCGTATTTCACGGAATTGAACGAGCAGGTCAAGGACTACGACCGAGAGATCATTGCCGAGGAACTAGCTAACGACCGGTTTCCGTTGAGAGGATTGGATTTCGACAAGCCCACGGAAAAGCCCATTTTGATCATGAAGGGCGGCCGTGGCGGCATGGGAAACATGCATTTTCTTACCGGCGACGTGAGAAACCCCCGTTTCAGCAAAAAAGGCCGCCAAGGCTTGACGGAGTACTTCATGCTCGAACTCAAGCTTTTAGCCGACCTCGGGCTTGTGGGCTTGCCTAATGCCGGGAAACTGACGCTCCTTAGAGCTATTTCCAAGGCTAGACCGCGTGTGGGGCACTGGGAGTTCACTACTCTTCAGCCTACGATCGGTACGATTTTCACCCGAATCGACGAGGACCCTTTCACGGTAGCGGATATTCCCGGCATCATCAAAGGAGCTTCCGAAAACAAGGGCATGGGCATGGACTTCCTTCGCCACATTGAGCGGTCTGGCGGTTTGGTTTTTGTGGTTTCGCTCGAATCGAAAAACCCCGCCCAGGACCTCCAGGTTTTGATAGACGAGGTGGGAGAAAAGCGCATGAAGGGCAAGAAAGTCATGGTGATCGCCACGAAAGCGGATCTTACGAAAAACGGCGCCAGCTACTCTGAGCTTGTGAACCATATCCAGAGCATTGATGCTTCCTGGCACTACATTCCCGTTTGTGCTCCTAAAGGTGAAAACATCGAAAGTGCCATCAAGATGATGGGCCTGCTTGCACGGAAGGATCAAGAGGAGAAGTAGAAGCTCGGCTTTAGTGCACGGCGGTTCTCCTAACTATGCTTTTCTAAGGCGAGTCCGAGCGTTGATTCAAGCAAGGGGCCGTTCTTCCAGCGACTAAAATCCACAATACCCATCCAGCGTCAGGTTGCGGTTTCTAGAAACCTGCTGAGTTGCTAGGCGGGCCGCCAACATGCGGCGCTACTACACTAGCCACATTCAGGAGGGCATACTTAAGCAAGGCAGCATTGGATGTCCCAAAAGTGTGTGAAAGAAGCCCCTGGAGGAGCTCATGTGAGGCGAGTGTGGCAGGATGCGTTGATTTGAAACACTGGCGGAAGTCCGGAGGGTTTCACATTTTGGAACGGAAGTCCGGCTGTGGCTGGTGATGTCTCATCCTGAGACACGCTTACTCCACCTCGGTTTAGCCAAGTTTCCATGCATCGTGGGCTACTACGACGGCGACCCTGTGGCTAGTGTTGCGGCGGTGGCTCCGAGCGGGAAGGGGAATATTCGTCTAGCCGAAACGGGAAAAGCTCTAGGGTCGAAGGGGCTGTTTCAGCAACGAAACTTGATGCAAAATGGCCAGTGTAGGTTGCCTAAACGTTGCTGCTGGGTGTTGCATTACTGAGAAAGAAGAAAATTGTGGATCTGCAAGAAACTCGGGTTTCCACCGTTCTTACTAAAAAAAAGGAGCAAGGCATCGCTTCTCATAGATCTTGCTGGAGGGTGAGCACGCACAAGGTGCTGTTTTAACATCCATGCGTGTCTTGCTTCTGTGCCCTCCCAAAAGGAAAAAACGGTCTTTTCACCTGTGTGAACCAGGCACCCTGGGCTAATACCAGGTACATACCGTGAGCTCACTAAGTATAGGCCGTTGCACCTGCCGAGCAATAGGTGGAGACGGAATAAGGAGTGGAGATGTGTATGGGTAATAGGGGATTGGGTTTGAGGTTGATGGGGAGGTTTTGGAGGAGCCACTGGTAGTGAATGAGAAGGAGTTGATGGATTTGAAGATCTAGACTGGCCATTAGCAGATCTAGTGGAAGTGGTTACAGTGTGGAGAAACCTTCTTCTACAGAGTATGGGTTTTGATTCGTTGTGTGGACTACAATTCAGCCGAAGATCATGAATCATAAGGTATTGCCAATTTGACTTCATTCCCAGCAGATCAGAGACATTCAGAAGGTGTGGCTTGGAAGTTCTTGTGGAGTAGTCGCGATATCAACTTCACACATTATACCAAGCCAGGATACCAATATCAGATGCAATAGAAACTAAGGATTCAGAGCATCTAGCTTCTTGTCATTTCCCCGAGCAACCCGGAAAAACCGAACATTCGTTCGCCTGGATTGGTGATGTCCTTCACCTCGCATAAACTTAAAGCACTACAGGCGAAGAGCATAACGAATACAGGCTCCACCGGCGCATGTTTCATGTCTGTTTAACTAAAACAACGCAGCCACGGCAAAGAAACAAGTCGATTTTTGCAAGACAGAACAACCCAGGCCTAGTGCACGGAGTTCAACCTGAAAGAAGCCCTAGGTTCTGCAAGTGCCACTGAGAATGCAGCATGTGTAAATGTGTTCCGCTTCGTCTGGTTGCAAATCACCAGCACACACAAAAGACCATAGAAAAGCAAGGGATTTTTTGAACCGAGTTCATCAAAAAAAGGAAAAACGGCAGAATCGTTTGGTTCAGTTGGTTAACATACTTTGCGATGTTCTCCGTCAAATCCACCTGGTGAGCACTTTGCTGGAACGGAATTACCCCCAGCTTGCTCATAACCTCCACAATCGCGCTGGATCGAATTATAGAAAAACCGGTGGAACCCCGAGCGGCTGAATTATGACTTGGGGCGGGCACTTTAGCAATGGTGGTTTGAATTTTGCTTTTTGAGGGCAAAAGCTGTTTTACCACCCCGGCAGGCGTGTCTCTGCCAGAGGGGCAAAGGGTTTCTGGAGTACAGTGGCGTTGCTTTATCGGGATAAATGATCGTGGTACTAGGTTGTTGGAGAAGGAGAGTCAGCTGAATTTACAAAATCCACTCTTTTTTTCACTCGACAAACCATAAGATCTTCAGTTCATGGAGGGAAAGGCTTAGTTTCTAAATCTTCATAGCATCATAGCATACCTACACTTCGCTGATCCACGCATTCCTTATCGCCGTCTCATAACCACACCACTCATTGTATACTCTTCATTCATACACACATACGATGCACTCAGTATTGACTCCACATCGACAAACCTCAAATTCATAACTCTACAAATCTCTAACCCACTTCATTCATTCGATTCCAATACTCTCTAATACTCTCACCTCTATACTTCCATATCTACACCTTGTTCATGTGCATGTGTATCATTACCATTAGTCTATAAAGTTCCGTGATTCGTGACCCATTTCCAGGCTTCGCCGTCCCAGCAGCGGCCTTCCATCCATAATTCAGCCAAGCGCTTTCCTTAGCGAAAACGTTTAACGCTTCGAGAACGTTTCCTAAACGGAAACGTTCAGCGGCTCGAGCGTCTGCCCTCCCTGAGGGCGCCTCTAACACTCACAACCTGCTCGATCTTGGCGAGAATGTCGCTGTAGCTGACATTCAAAGGCTTGGGGAAGGTGTGGTCAAAGCCAATGCTGTCGTAGAGCTCCATGTCGGAAAGAAGCGCTCTGGTGGTCACAGCAATGAGTCCAACATGGTCAAGAGTTGGGAAACCTCTGAGGGTGGTTGCAATGTCGATGCCGGTGACCAAGGGCATGTCGATGTCCAAAAAGACACAGTCGAAACGGGAAAACAGCTCCTCGGTGAGCTCAAGCGCCAGGGAGTCCTGGACACATCTGACGAGGGCTCTAGGGAAAAGCTTTCTCAACACTCTGGCGAAAATTCTAAGGTTGATGGCGTTGTCGTCCACCAACAAAAAGTGGTATGGCTTGTCGGAGCCCTGGAACTTGTTTTCGAACTTGGGGGTCTCGATCTTGCCGATAGGGAAGGGAATCGTCTTGACAGGCTCTGGAGTGGCAGTAGGTGATGGAGTCACCATGGGGGAGCGGCACTTGAAAGCCGGCACGCTTTGCTTTGTGATTGGGGTAGCCATCATATCGGTGGGGTGGTGTCTTAGTCTAAGGAGGGGTATATGTTGATCTCCTATGAGGTGTGTTTTCCGGTGATACAGAAGGAAGTTGGGGAAAGCGAAGATTTATATAGTGGATGAAGCAGAGAAGCGATTTGCAAACGTAGGCGGGCTGCAGCATGCATGGCGGACAATGCAGCAAAGGTGGACGGTGCGTGGCCGCCCCGTATTCTTATGCACGCCTCATGCTGGGCGGACCCTGACGTGCAGCAGGCGAGAAAATATGCTGAGCCGCGGCTCCTCCACCAGTTTTTCCGACAGCAACTATCTAGTTATAGGTATACTTGGTGGAGTTCCGGTGCAACTTTCTCGTCTAGCCACGGGCCCGCCTCAACCTGTGGCGGTGACACAGTGAGACACGGCATGTGACAAGCAAGAAAAAAAAAAAAAACCAGGAAACCCACATTTACGACTATACTGTAGATCGTAGAGTAGTGACTGATCACCACCACCTTGCTACGGAGAAGGACCCCGTCGTTTCAGCGGAGGACCTCGGGCCCGCTGCACAAAAACCATAAACCCAAGATCCACCGGCTCCAGGCCCATTGTTGCTCTTCTTCTCCAGGCACCGCTAGGGCTACTATCCATGGATACAGGGCCCTCGCTTGTGGCTAGAGCCGGTTTAGCCGCTGCACGGCAATTGCTCTGCTCCAGCTTTCCACAGTGCCTGTGGCTGGAGAGCTCTCTTGGCTGGCCAAGTTCCTGGATTGCACAAAAACCGCTGAGAGAGTGAAATCGGATTTGTGGCGAATGCAAGGGCGTTTTGGCACGGTGCATGGGGCTGACGGGAAAATGGAGAGTTGTAGGAGCCGAGGTGCTGAGGCGGAGACCAGCATAGATAGAGGGAGAGGGTCCCTAAGGGTCTTGGAGCCAAGACAGAAAGCATTGTGAAGCTTGGGTTGAGGTGTAAGCTTTGAATTATGTTAGGCTGAAAGAGGCAGTTACGAGGTGGTGGGGGATTTTTTTTTTTATTTGTCTTATTTTTTTTATTTGTGGAGTGAAACGACAGTGTTCAATGTGTTGATCAGTGTCATTCCGGAGATATACAATGGTGGTGCCATGATCGGATAAACTAGTGGGCCCACGGCGATCAAAGCTTGAACAGGCGACATTCCGAGGTTGGATGCCGTATTTGGTGATTTTCAGGAGCTTTCTTTTTTCGTTAAATTGTGGGTTTCACTAGATGGGAGGATAGTGCTTGTTTCACAATAGCCAGCATATACACCACAGATACAAGAGGAAAAACATCAACACCGTCCATCTCTAAAGCCAAACCTTCAAGTCTACCTTCAAGTCAACTAATTCAAGTCAGTAAATTCCATTTTCGTAGATACCATCATTTGTCACTTCCGTAACACCCACATCCCAAAACGCACAATGGACCGTATTCTCTCCACCGCCCAATTCGACCACCCACATACACGGTAAGCCTCACATTCCACACGGCTCGTGCTGATAAGATACTGGAGATCCACGTGTGGCGATCCTGGGCTGTCTATCACCGCTCCAGCACAAAGGATCAGCCCATTGTCCCAGGCACAGAAGCTTTACACAATGGGTGCTTGCGAGGCACAGCCAGGGGATCGTCACATCTCTGTTTCTTCCGTTTGTGGCTCCACCGCATGACGTTATCATTGTGGTTTTGTTCTTCCGGTATGCTCTGACCATGAAGGTCATGACTCAGATTAAAGTATCTTTACTCTAAGGGGACCCTTGGACGCCTGAAACATTCCAGAAGGCGCCGAGACGCCTCGAGACCGCCTTCTTTCAATGTGGTCTGCGGCAACACCGGCTTCCGCCTCGAAATCCACATCAACAGCCTGGCGTCAAGGATCTAGGATGGAACATTTACGGTTTTTTCGCAGCGTACAATGGGCGTCACCTGGGGCGGGGCTGGATCTGCAAAAAAGGCCCAATGACGCCGTTTGATCACTCGTTTTGATGCTACTATTACCACCACTTCCTCGTGTTCGTCTGCCCCACCTGGATAATCCGAAACGTCAAAAAATATCATCCTACAAAACTCTGACAAACGCATCTCCTGTGGGCGGGCGCGCCGCAACGCCGCTGATGCAGAGCCGCCCCGCTGCACATGAGGAATCCGCGCCCGAAACGTGCACTCGCCTAGTACTTCCATGCATGCATCCCGCCAGCTAAGACTTCCCAGCCACATGCTCTGCATTAGCCACGCCGATTACAAACCTTAATTGAACCAACGTTTCTAACGCTTTTTTGACGTTGATATGAGCCCGTGTGGGTTATGACCGCCATCGGACCCCCCACCGCCCGGCGATCTCTCCGCTACTACTTATATCGAAGCGGACCGCTCGTGGCTAGTGCCCTTTGCGCCTCGAGCAACTTGTCGTTTCATGAGCCACAAGTGCTCAGCGCCAATATCGAGAACGGAAGCGATGGATGTTGAGGTTGTCGACGTCGAGAACCTCGACGTCATCGGCGTCACCAGGGTGCTACTCTACGGAGAAGTCAATTCTGAATCGACTTGCTAACCTTAATCCTCAAAACTCCAGTCACACTGCTAATTATCAACAAAACAGAACCCTGAACCCTGGAATCCTGGAAGGGGCTCGAACCCTTGATACTCTGCGAAATTCTGGGCACACCTCCGGAGACGCCGCATCCATGCCGATGACGAAATGGACAAATTTAAAAGCTTAAGCTTGCCGAGAGATCCAGGGAGGTATTTTGTGGAGGCAGGTGCCGAGGATTCAGCCATAGAGGAAACGTGGGAGAGGACAGAAGGTTGGAAGGAGAAGGTTGGCAAGGAAAGTAAAATTCCGAAATTCTTGGACATCGTGAATATGGACATCGTGGATATGGACAAGGTGTGAAATGTAGGAACCAGTTGACGAGAACAGTATATGCTAGACAAAACGGGCCGCCAGCGACGGTCATCCAAAAATTTTTTTTTTTTCAAACCTCGCCCCAACTCGTCTTTAAAAGCCTCCTTGCCCCCAGCAAAGTGGTAGGCAGACATCAACGGTATTCCAGAGAGGCTGCCAAAATTAACTTTTTAGCACAGTGCAAGCCCGGCGTTTGGAGGCGACACGACGTAATCAGCATGGCGCCGTGGCGAGTACTTGCAGATCAACACGGCAAAATTACACAAAACCGGTCGTTGGGGCTGCCTTTCCCTTGAGCTTATCTGGTTCTTGTCGTTATCATGTGGCGGTGCATTTGTGGCAAAGCAGGCATGTGGATGGGAAACGTGGACGGATGATTGTTGGGTTGGAAAACGGCGGGAAAGGCTCCGTCAAGTTGGTTTTACTCGGGAATTTGGGGATCTTTCCGGTTGACGTTTTCGAGGCGAAACGAGGCATGCCATGTTACCTAAATCTTGTTTACGGAAAATGGGAGATTTCCCGGGCCGAGCCATTTGCCGATGGAGTTTCCAAAATCACAAGAACGGGGGTATTCATTTGTGGCTGAAACGCTGTAGAACGGGTTGTAGTGGTAAGATCGAAGAAGACGAGACACATGAGGGAGGAGGTTGGGGAGAATTTCCCAAAGAGGATACTTTGGGGATAAAAGGCTAAAAGTAAAAAGTGTAGCTTTAGCCGGTGGTTTGTGAACCAAACGCAGCGTCTATTTGGTTGCTAGGTGGTCCTGAGGTAGAGTGGCTTTTAGTGGATGGTCTGGAACGAGTGGTCCAGAGGGAGGTCCAGAGGGAGGTGGAGGATGTGGTCCTGAGGCTTTGAATTTTCTAAATAGTGGCCGTTTCCGGTGAAGCTGGAGGTGGAAGAGTCCACATGATGACCAGGGTTGGGAAGGAGACTTAGTTCATTTTGAAGGTTTGATGATGGTTTGTAAGAATAGTTTTATTGGCTCGATTTTCTGCCTAGAGGTGTGGATTTATATAAATAAGGCGGCTCAGGGCACAATTTTGTTTATCGTTTCACGGGATTAAGCTTCAATTGAGGTTGTGATTGGATCCATGGTCGGATGATTCAGAAGGTCTGGGGAACCTCAATGCAGTCAGATTTAAAATAAATACTGGGTGGGTCGACTATCAGCATGGAGGTGCAAAAATATGATATTTATAAGATGGCTAGAGGGCCAATTCTTTTAATGTGTTTACTTGAAGGCTTGCATTGATGCAGCGTTTTTTGCACCCAAAAGTCGCCCATTGAGTTTTCAGTATTTTGGACCTATTCCACCGGAGAATGGTAATTTTTTAGGAGATCTGTTAAGAATCTGGACCTTAAATCTCAGTTTTTGTAAAAGTATGCCCTAGCAGCAGAGGTATCCTTTTACAGTGTCCTGGATAAGCATGCCTAGTGAGTCAAATGACCAAAAGGTCCTGAACAGTTGATTTAGACTATACTAACGCAAGAAAATCCTCTCAATAGAAGAAATATGTCTTACGTGTATTGTTGAGCCATCCATAGTACAGCATCTTATTCATATACATACAAATCCAAGCCAATACACAAGAGCCGGGGCATACACGAAATCATCTTATGGCTTTCTTTTTTTGTTTTTGTATTTTATTCTGTTTTAACGATGATGAATGATATAGAACTATTCAAAAAATAATCACCAATTTTTCATTACGATAAACTTCAGTAGTGTCCATCAATGCACTGGGCTACTCCCTTGTAGTACTACATCTTCGCGATATCAACTCTCACCTTCAGTACTACTACTACTACATCACCACGCCACCCATTGACCAAGGCACGCAGCCAACGGCAGTACTGCATCCACAACAGCATATAAATAGGGACCACAATCCGCAATTCTTGAATCCTCAAAATTCAATAACCCCACTCCAGCCATCCCATAATCACTCCAGTTGACCCAGATGTCCTTCAAACTCACCGTCAACAGCCACTTGGAGGGGCTCCCGAAAGTCGTGCAGCTGAAGCTCTTTGATGCTCCCGCCACGTGTC